AATTGCAATTATTTGCAATTTAATTGATCACAATTATTTTTGTGTAACAATTATGATTTATGGTAATTGTAATAAAATTGAATTGCAATTAATTTTTCGGCACCCCTGACTTTATGTGATAGAATATTATGTCGGGAATACTATAGCATCGTCAAACGGTATATGCATTATATATTAAGGAATAATCTATCATAAACTTAAGTCTAGGTTTCAAATTTAGAATCTGGTTTTGACAAACCGGTTTCCAAATATGTTTAAAGATTACAAACCCAAGAACTTTACTATTCCTAGTCTGATTGGTACATCTCACTTAACTAATAGACAGATATGAAGGTTAATAAAAAGTATGGATCATTTTCTTTGTAATTTTACTAAAAATATTTTTAAATTCTAAAAATAAGAACATAATAATTAAAAAGTCAGTTTATAAAACGTCTCCATTTTGCTAGCATATATTAAAAATTAATTTAAAAAAATAAATTGTTTGAAATTATGAAAATCACCGTGACTTATAGAAAGGTGTAGTAAATAAGTTGATAAAAGACAGTAATTATAAGAATAAAATAAAAATAAATTAAACTAATAAACACTGAGTATATATTATCCAATAAACCAAAACGCATATCAAGATTCAATATGTTTCTAGTCTTTGATATATTAATGACAGTAAGCATCATAATTTCAAGAATACAATTTTTTTTTCGAACAAAAATACAAAGTCCTAAGTGATATATTTTATGGAGAACATTAGATCCCATTATAATGTTTTCAAATTGATACTAATATTCCTCAGAAGAATAATCTTCTAAAAAAAAAAAAAGAACTTGAAGCATTAGAGAATTGGATAACGTTAAACGTCAATTTACGTTTAAATTATGTGTACCTTGTTCACTCCAAACCTCTTCTTCATCAGGATAGTCATGTGTATAGTAATCTTCAGCTACAAAATAAAAGATAATTTAAACGCATAAAACAGGAATCATAAATATGTACATATACATAATAACCAACCAACCATTTGAATCTTCTTCATCGGAATATACATATTCATCTTTTTCTGTTGTTTCTTTCACAAAAATTCTATTATCACCGTCATTGAACCAAGTTCTGTCAAAAAATTTAAAATCATGAATATCATTATAAATAAATAGTTTTATAAAGAGTGAAAATTACTGTACAATGAAGCATAATTCTGATATTCAGGCTTATCATCAAATGCCATTGAATCATCACGATAGTATACATCATATACATAATCATCATCGGATTCGGCAGTATTTTCTTTATCTATGTTCTCTTGGACTAAGAATGAACGAATAGAAATATATATAAGTATAAAATGTTTGATAAATAGCATTAATCAGCAATAATGTGAATATATATATATATATTTACGAGTTAGATATTCTCGAATCATAGGAATGAAGTTACACATAATATCGGAATCCAGGCCGTCTTCCTTGATGAATCTGAGAGCCATGAATTTCCATAAAATTATTTGATCCTTCTCATTTTCCATGCAAATATAAAATACCAATCAAAAAAAGAGCAACCAACTTTGGCGCAATTGGTATTTCTTCTTTGACAGCGTCATACATCTTGAACATTTCATCTGTTGCATTTTCTTCATCTTCAACGCTGTCACTAAATATCCCAACAAAATTTAACGAATATGGTAGCTAATCACGAAGAAATTAAGAAAACATTGATCTTCTAACTAAGAAAACATTGGTCTTCTAACCTTGAGAAATGGGGAAGGCTACCACTTTTCCTATTTCTATCAATCACTTTATATCTTTCTTTTCTCGTATTCTCATTGAACATAGCAATTTGCTGATCACGAGTCTGTTTTCTGCTTCGCTCTTTCAGTCGCACCTTATCTCTGCGATTGATTAATTTTGCAATGCGATCCTACAAAACAAACAAGAAACGTTATAATTGATTTTAGGGTACATCTACGCTCAATATGAATAACATACCTTCAATTGCTGTGACTTTGTTGAATCATTGAAGCTAATCTCATCAACTGTCTCCGCAAATCGAAAAACGAAAGGTAACGACGAATCTTCTATTCAAATAATAGCAATTTAATTTTCGTAAAACATTTGTAAATCAAAAAAAAAAAAAAGAAAGAAATATGAAAAACTTTGCGCTTTACCCTCCATTTTTTGTTCCTCGATCGGTTTCACATCATTTTGAAGACTTCCCTGCCGCTTTGGTTTCTTTACAAGTTGTTGCTGGACAACTGCAAAAAATTTGGCGATTAGCGAAAGTTTAAAATTTTGTTACAAATATGATACGGTACCAAGCGCGTCCAAAGGCTCAGCATTACGTTTACGCTTCAACCGTACAAGTGTGTAAGGTGTCTTAGTTGATTCTTCAAATATGGAATTTTCAGGCATCGGATTTACAATTTCCATTTCAGAGAAGTCTCAGAAAGCTGTTACGTACCATTACGTTAACTTCCTCATTATAATTATGACATATTCTAACACATGATTATTAACCAATCAAATCGAGGATTAATAAATTACACAAATCAGGGATTTTCTTTTATAGTTAAAAATACATTTTTTTCTTCCAAATTATTGTTGGTGTTTTCTACGGGCAAAACAATACGAAGAATGCAAAAAAAGATGTGTTCAAAGATGACCATCTTTCGTCAGGTTATTCTTTAGTTTGTCACGAAAAGTGGATCAATAGATGCACACGAGAGAGGGCTTTTTGTAAACTATAAATAGATATATAGTACGTATGTTATAAACATAAACATGGAAAGAAAATAAAGAAAACCCTTTCTTTATACTGTATGTAGATTATGATTTGATCCACAGATGAAGGTACTACAAGCTTGTAATACATGCTTATTAAGGTAAAAATTTTTAATTCAATGTAAAATTTATTCTCGATGATTTTATTATCAAAATGTTTGTCCCAATGGGATAATTTTTAACATTCTCAAAATTATTAAAAAAAAATATATAACAAAAAATACAGGAAATTTTTTTTGTCGGAGATGCAGACTTATTTACGTCATTAGTTACGGCTCAATTGCGGTTTATTTTATAAACCGATAAGTCTGCATCTATGGCTGCTACGCAATTAACTCCGTTAAAAAAAAAATTCCTGTTATTTGTCGTACGCATGTTCAATAATGATGTCATCCGATAGTTAATATGTCAATGTGAAGTTTTTTTTCTGTGATATTTTGCAAACTGATTACGTAATTTTGTGCGAATCTATTTATCGCCGGTGGTGACAGTCATCGGGTTGCAATTGGCCAATCATATCATGGGATCAGGGTAACGTTTATGTAACCCGAAAAAATTGAAATTCGAAATAACTCAAAACTTCATCACCTTTCATGTTCTAATTAAAAAAACTCTTCGCCAAATTTTACTACATGTGATGCATTGCTCTAACCCTAACTCAACTCTAACCCTGACTCTAACGATAATTAAACCTTTCGTGGTTGGTCAGTTGCAATCCGGTGACCATCACTGCGACGACAACTAGTTTATTTCTTTGTTTTTAGTAAAAAATTTATAAAACATAACTTATTTACACGACTATTTTGTATTGGATATTGATATCATGATGTAGAGGCATACGTAGTGCGATTTGATTCCTATATTTGGTAAGTATTGCGATAGATCAAATTACAAACTTGTGTTCTTACAATAGCATTCTTCAAAAAATTAAGTAAAGATAATTAAAATATTGTATTTTAATGAAACAAAAGAATGAACTTATAAAATTTTCTAAATTTAAATCAAAATTTATCTGAAGTTTATTAAATTTAAATCAAAATTTACCTAAAATTTATTTAATTTTGTCTAAATTTTTTGTCATCAGAAAAAATTTTGAATTTTTAGAACTAAAATTTACGGGTCCCTGCGATATTGATTAAATTTGCCCAAGATCACAAAATTTTACTAATGAAACCATAGCTCACTCACCAAGTAAGGCTATCCAGATGATAAATTTGCTGTAATACGGTTAGTTGTTGTTATTTCTTAATTATTCCTGAAACACCTGATAAAAATTAGCGAATGATTTTTCGGTCTATTCGATTAAGTTTGTGATTTCGGGCATGATCGGTATATAAAAGATACATATTTTTATATTACTGTATTACATGTAATACTTTGTTCTACAGATAATTTTATCATTATAATGTCAACACATTCAACATTATTAAATTTTTGTTGAATACTTGCCCAATATATTTGGTATATTTAGTTTGCACGAAAATTTACGGATAAGTCTGTTCTTGTCAACCAATAAATCTTGACAAGAAATATACTATGCATAACGATTATCTATTAATCGATATATAGTATTTATTTAGCGTTAGGAGGTTTTAAACCTAAGCTGGTTCTGCTTATTTCACCGAGCTTATTTCGTAGAGACAACCCTTCACCGACATGTTTATTTCATTGACACCTATTTCACCGACAAGTTCATTTTACCGTCAGTTTATTTCACCAACAGCTCATTTCGCCGACAAAGTAATTCTGGCCATTGTCATTAGGGTCAGTTAGAATTAGTATTAAGATTAGTGTAATTTATAAAAAAACTTATCGGTGAAATGAGTTGTCAGTGAAATAAACATGTGATCGTCGGTGTCTACCAAATAAGTGTCGGTGAAATATCATAGGAAGAAATACGCCTGATTGGCTAGCATCGTACACAATTTGCAACGAAAACTTCAAGAAAAAATTCATAAATACGCATGATTCATTGATTATAAAAGATAGATAGACGCATATAGAGTAGGGCAAAAGTGATGCTCACTACTAAAACAAAGCTCGAACCACTAACCCACTATCTATAAACACAGTTTATATAAACCCGTACGCTTTAACAAACCAAGTCAATTTAAGAATATCAATATAAAACATAGATCTTATCGCGAACAAGCTTCAAACACCTAACTTGAAATCTCAAGCTTTAAAAAAAGAGACAACTGTTTTGTTAATAACACTACTTTTGTTTTTGTGCATTTTAAAATTTAGACGTAGCTTTTTTTCTTTACCTCTTGCAGAAAGTCGTGTCTAAGCCAACCCCTCTTAAATTAGAGATTATTAGATATTATTTTTAAAGTTAGCTTTCTAGCACATCTTTGAAGCTAAAGACGATGTTTGTTAAGAATGGTTACTTGTGTAATATTGCGTTCTTAAAAAGTACTTTAAAATATATGAATAAGTTACCCGGGCAATTGATTTGCATTAGCCAAACCAGCCAAATCAGACAAATTTCTTCCTATGAGCATTTTATACAAAAATTGATTACCCCTGTAATTTTGACCAATCAAAATTTAGGATCAGGTGTAACGTGATAATCAAAACAAACATTTTGTTTTCTTAACAGACGCACGATTTGTCACGCAGATCATTTGTGTAAAATTTTTAATAGTAGGTCAAATGATCGACGCACCCAAATTTTATAAG